GCATGCGAACGCAGCCAGTGGGGCCGTCGGTGGGGCTCCCTGCGGGGCCACGAAACGTGTGCGGGGTGTGCCACGATGGGTGCGGTGGGCGCATGCGAACGCAACCACTGGGGCCGTCGGTGGAGCTCTCTATGGGGCCATGAAGCGTGTGAGGGGTGTGCCGAAATAGGTGCGGTGGACGTATGCGAACGCAACCACTGGGTCCATCGGTGGAGCTCCCTGTGGTGCCGCGAAGCGTGTGAGGCTGTGCCAAAATGGGCGCGGTGGGCGCATGCGAACGCAGCCAGTGGGCCGTCGGTGGAGATCCCCGTGGGCCACGAAACGTGTAAGGGGTGAATCGGAATGTGCGCGGTGGGCGCGTGCGAACGCAGCAACTGGGTCCGTCGGTGGAACTCCCGATGGGGCCACGAACCGTGTGCGGGGTGTGCCGAAATTGGTGCGGTGGGCGCATGCAAACCCAGTCACTGGACCATTCGGTGGAGCTGCGTATGGGGCCACGGAGCGTGCAACGGGTGTGCCGGAATGGGCGCGGTGGGCGCATCTGGGTAATCCGCCACCGTGCCGCTGGGTACGGAGTGGGCGTGTCCCCAGATCCTTTGCCCAATCCCAAGGGCCTCAGTCCTCAGTCCGGAGGGGTGATTCGGGGGCCCGGACCCGAATTTCCGAAATCTCTTGGGGCTTGGCGCGTGACCCCTGGGGTTCCAGCATCTTGTCGCGTAACCTCTTGGCGCCCAAGAGGGCCTCCAGACGGGCCCAGAGGGCCCCAAGAGGCCCTCAAGACGGTCCAATATGGCCAAGAGACGCCCAATGATCGTTCCAAGACGTCCAAGATGGCCCTAAGTCGGCCCAAGAGGCATCCAAGATGCCCCAAGAAGTCCCCAAGAGGCAAATTTTTGGAGGATTTTGGCGTTCTCGCCTTCTCGGGTTTCCGACCCCCCCAGGCGGCCCAAGAGGCCCTCAAGGCTTTCAGGTGCCCCCCGCCCACCCCCACCTCCCCCCGGGAGGCCTCGCAACTGCCTCCAAGAGATCCCCAGCATTATACAAGGGTTCTCTGACGTCGTCGTCGTCGTCGTCGTCGTCGTCGTCGTCGTCGTCGTCGTCGGCACGCCTAGTGGTCCGTCGTCCGTCGTCCGTCGTCTGCCGTCCGTCGTCGTCCGTCGTCCGTCGTCCGTGGTCGTCGTCGTCGTCACCGTCGTTGTCGTCGTCGTCGTCGTCGTCGTCGTCGTCGTGGTATCCATTGATGGGTACTGACGCACTGCCTCACTTGGTACCCGATCGGTACCACGTGAAGCAGATCTTATCCAGGGTTGCCCCCGCCTGCCCCCCCAATGCATACAGGATCGGGCTCCCCCCCCCCTGGATGAGCTTGCTCGTGGGCCTCGAAACGGCCTCGCGAATGGGATCGTCCCGCCACTGTGGTCGTGGCCCTGTGGGCGTGGTGTGGTGGAGGGAGCCGGTGCACCCCCAGCCCTCCCCCTGTGGGTGTGGGGTGGTTCAACGTCGTCGTCGTCGTCGTCGCAGTCGTCGTCGTCGTCGTCGTCGTCGTCGTCGTCGTCGTCCTCGTCGTCGTCGTCGTCGCCGTCGTCTTCCGTCGTCCGTCGTCGTCGTCGTCGTCGTCGTCGTCGTCGTCGTCGGCGGCGTTGGCGTCGTCGTCGTCGTCGTCGTCGTCGTCGTCGTCGTCGTCGTCGTCGTCGTCGTCGTCTCGGTCGTCGTCGTCGTCGTCGTCGTCGTCGTCGAGTCGTCGTCGTCGTCGTCGTCGTCGTCGTCGTCGTCGTCGTCGTCCGTCGCCGTCGTCTTCCGTCGTCCGTCGTCGTCGTCGTCATCGTCGTCATCGTCGTCACCGTCGTCGTCGTCGTCGGCGGCGTCGGCGTCGGCGTTGGCGTCGTCGTCGTCGTCGTTGTCGTCGTCATCGTCTGGTCGTCGTCGTCGTCGTCGTCGTCGTCGTCATCGTCATCTTCGTCGTCGTCGTCGAGTAGTCGTCGTCGTCGTCGTCGTCGTCGTCGTCGTCGTCGTCGTCCCGTCGTCTTCCATCGTCCGTCGTCGTCGTCGTCGTCGTCATCGTCGTCACCGTCGTCGTCGTCGTCGTCGGCGGCGTTGGCGTTGTCGTCGTCGTCGTCGTCGTCGTCGTCGTCATCGACTGGTAGTCGTCGTCGTCGTCGTCGTCGTCGTCGTCGTCGTCGTCGTCGTCGTCGTCGTCGTCGAGTAGTCGTCGTCGTCGTCGTCGTCGTCGTCGTCGTCGTCGTCGTCGTCGTCGTCGTCGTCGTCGTCGTCGTCGTCGTCGTCATCGTCTGGTCGTCGTCGTCGTCGTCGTCGTCGTCGTCGTCGTCGTCGTTTTCGTCGTCGTCGTGGTCGTCGAGTAGTCGTCGTCGTCGTCGTCGTCGTCGTCGTCGTCGTCGTCGTCGTCGTCGTCGTCGTCGTCGTCGTCGTCGTCGTGGTCGTCACCGTCGTCATCGTCGTCGTCGTCATCGTCGTCACCGTCGTCGTCGGCGGCGTTGGCGTTGGCGTCGGCGTCGGCGTCGGCGTTGGCGTCGGCGTCAACGTCTCCCCCCATCCCATCCGGGGGGGGGGCCTGTGGAACCCTGGGGCCCATCCCATCTGGGGGGGGCCTGCGAGCCCTCGACCCAGAATCGAAAATATACGACAGGCCTCAAGTGAGGTGCTTGGCCCGTAGCGCGATAGCACAGGTGGTGCTTGATCGGTTCCACTTGAGGCGTACAGACGACATGCCACAAGTGTTCCTTGTCTGGTACCACTTGCGACATATCCGCCAGCGTGCCGCTGGGCCAGGAGTGGGCGGCGTGTCCTCAGATCCTTTTGCCTAATTCCTTCAGCACTCCTAGGGAGTCTTTCAGGGGCCCGGACCCCAAGTCTCAAATTTACCAGGACTTCCAGCGTGCCCCGTGGGCTTTGGCGCATATTGTCGACTGAATGTTCGAGCCCAAGAGGGTTCCAAGACGGCCCAAGAGGGCCCCACGAGGCCCCCAAGACGGTCCAAGAGGGCCCCGAGTCGCCGAAAGGCCGTTCCAAGACGCCCAGGATGGCCTCAAGATGGCCCAAGAGGCCTCCAAGACGCCCCAAGAGGCCCCATAAGACGGCCTCCAAGAGGGATCCAAGACGGCCTGAGAGCGCCCCAAGACGGCCCAAGATGCGCCCAAGACGGCTCAAGAGGGCCCCAAGCTGGCACCGACAGGGGCACAGGAGGGGGAGCACGAACCGGAAATCCGAGCCTTCCGCCCCAAGAGGCTTCAGGAGGCCCCAAGAGGCGCCCAAGAGGCCCCAAGAGGCCCGGAAAGGGCCCCCGAGAGGCCCCAAGAGCCCCCCCAGAGGCTTAAAAAGAGGCCCCAAGAGGCACCAGTACGACACCCAAGAGACATCAAAACTGGCTCCAAGAGGCCCCGAGAAGCCTCCCACGAGATCCCAACGAACATCCACTAGGCTTCGTACCCGCAACCCAGACACGGTGGCAGGATGGGCCGAAGGCAATTCGATTTATATTCATCTGTGTACGGTGCGGTGCGTACCCTTGTGTCTCCAACGTTCTAGAGCCGACTTGATTAGTAATGCGGCGGCTTGCTGAGCTGGAGTGAAGCGATGGCGACACGCGCTGGCATTTGGAAACTTGCCGTCTGGAACCATACCGCCCTCGCGCCGCAGGAACCGCACCTTCTGTTTGCCCCTGTGCTATCTTAGAGGCGTCGACCCGAACAAGAATCCCAAAGTCCCATTCCCACCCACGATGCGATAGTACGGCACCGTTGGATAGCAAGGATTGCGCTTGCACGCCTGTCCAGCTGCCTGTCCACATGAGCCGATGGCCTCTGCAACGCTGCCACACGTGGTCACAGCACCTCAAGGTACAGAGTATAGTGGCTGATAAATAGTGCTAGCGAAAAACACGACATATGGCGTGAAGATCTGTTGCGTACGTGCGGTCACTCATTGGTGTTCTAGCCTTGGGTGTCTCTTTCTGCCTTTAAAGCGATCCTAAGGCCCATTTGGATCGCCTCGAACACCTTTTTTGTTGCACGGATTATTTAGCCCGCTTCGGCCGTCTTGGTGCGTGTAGGGATCCCTGACAGCTGCCCGGGGTCGCCTTTATACCCTCGAAAACTGTATTGGAACTCTCTTCGGCCACCATGGGCCGTTCTGGAAGCCTCCTGGAGCAGTGTAAACTTGTCTTAATTTTGCCCGAGCAATATTGGCCCATCTTTGGCCATCTCAAACAGAAAACACGTCAGACACAACATTGAAGCCTGACCAGGAAACCACAGGAATCGCCGCGTTGGTCCACTGGACTTGTGAGGAAACTTCTAGCCGAAGGCGAGACAACCACATAAAAAAGTAACACGGCAGGCCGATGCACACGTTACCAGTTCATTGTGCTGGCCTGTCGCGCTGGTGTGTCATGTGGGGTGGGGCCGAAGAGCACGACATATGGTGTGTTTGTTTGATAACCGATGTGCAAGCCTGCGAATGCGCTACGAGATCGCGCTGAAACGCTGAGTCGTGGAGGATTGGATTTTTGGGCTGCTTGGCTGGTTGACCCGGACATCCGACCCCTTTCCTGGGGCCACCTTCTCATCCCTGGTAATTCGTTGATGGTGAAAGGCCCTGAGGAGTCCCTTAGGCTCCGACAGTGGCAAACAACAAACTTCAGATAGACCCACATGGATATTTTCAAGGCGTCGAGGGTCTTAGATCAGGAGGAGGAGGAGGAGGAGGAGGAGGAGGAGGAGGAGGAGGAGGAGGAACGGCTTGTGCGGTTTGCCAGCTTGCGCCTCGGGGCGCGGCGAGGGGGAAAGCTAGAATGAAGGGCGGGGTGACCACCCGTAGACGAGAACCACTGCAGCCGAGGCCCTCCAGCAAACGCGCCCGGACAGCGGATCGAGCGCGACAGGGTTGCCGAGAGAACGCGCAGAGCAGAGCAGCAAACGCCAACAGTGGGGGTCGGCGGTGGGTCTTCCTTCTTCCGAAGAACCGCGGGGACAAAAAACAGCATCCTGCCAATGGCGTGCTGCACGAGCTGGGCAGCCTGGCCGCGCGCCGCAAGAGCCCGAGGCGACGGCGGCAACAACGACGACGACGGCGACCGACGCGACCGACGTATGGTAGGCCGAATGATTCCGTGCCCCAGCTCCCAGGCGCCACATCGGCTGTCTGGTCTCACTCTCGTGCTTCTTGTTGGCCACAGTATCCAGTGCGCTCCGCCCCAGATGTTGACTTTGTGTTGATCAACTCCCTCCTCCCTGCTCGCCCTTTCCTCGTCCTTTGTCGTCCTCCTCGTCCCCCTCCCTCCTTCCCTTACTCTGTCCATCCCTCTCTCCTCCCTCGTCGTCGTCGTCCTCCTCATCCTCCTGCCCCTTCTCCTCCCCCTCTTCTTTTTCTTATTCTTCCTCCTCCTCCTCATTCTTGAGCTCTTCCTCCTCCTCCTCTTCCCTCACATTCTTGCCCTCCTCCTCCTCCTCCGCCTCCGCCTCCTTCTCTCCCCCTTTCTCAATATCTCGCCTATCTAACGTCACGTTCGGCAAACGTGTCTCGGTACTAATAAGTTGTTATGCTGGCGGATCTCCTTCTAGTAGCTCACGAGAAGCTAACCTCCCACTGCGAACTGGTGAGTGCATGGCTGGGTCAGCCCGCTAAGCGGTGTTACTCTAAGCGAGGATGCGGTGTGTCTGTGCACGCGCACGAGTGGCCTGCCCGCCCGGCGGGCCTGCGCGCGCGTTTCTGCTTGAATAACAATACGAAGCTGCGGGGACAGTCCCTCCGCATGATCCATGCCCTACAAACGCTCTGCAAGGGAAAATAGTGGAAGGTTGCAGAAATCGGCGAAGGGAGTGTTAATAATGACCTCCCCCCCTCGGCCACCCAGCGCGGCATTGTCACGCCAGGGCGCACGTCAGCACGTTGGCTAACATTCCCAGCAGAAGAGGCGGGACATGCCGAACAGCCTCCAGCCAGACCCGAGAGCGTCGGACAACCTTCGCCCCTTCCCCCAGGGCCACTTTAGGCCCCCCGCCGCGCCAACCCCAAACAGTTTTTTACGGCGAAGGCGGTCGGGCGGTTGATATCCACGCTCTGCGGCAATCGGGTCAGGCTGAGACACCGTCTCAGCCTTTCACCCATGCCCGCCGCCTGAGCGGTTGCTCGTCCACCACTGATCGCCACAGCGATCGTCGCGACTGGCATCCCGACTCTGGTCGCCACGCGGGGTCTGCCAGCCAGCTCAGCTCGAAGAGGACGACCAGGCTGTCCAGCGATCCGCTGTATCAGCGCGCCAGGGGGTTTGGCGAAGACGCCGCTTCGTCCTGCCACCGCTGGCCGTAGTCACGATTTCATTTCGCAGAGGGCTCTGTCGCGGCCGCCGCGGCTGCCCGCGCAATCGGCGTGGGCGGCGCGGGCGTCAGCCTCTGGGCGATGTTGCCAGTCCGATCTCGGTTGGACGGCATGTTCCTAGTCGGCCGCGGCTCGACCCTCTGCCATGGGGGCGCGTCAGGCGGGGCGCGCCAGTTGCTCTCAGGAAATCTGTTCATCGTGAGAGGGCCGCGCTGCCGGCCAGCTCCCACCTTGTAGGCCCCCGCGCCCGAAGGGGCACGGTGGAGGCCTGGCCGGGCGGGTCGTGGCTGCTGCTGCGTCTCTGAGCGCGAGATGTCTCGCCGCCGCGTTCATCGGCCCTCGCTTTTGCGTGTTTGCATCCCCGCCTCGGCGGTGGAGTTCGCCGGTGGCGTTTGTCTCCAGGAGAGGAGGGCGCAGCGCCTGCGGCAGACTCATCATGGCGGTGGAAGCCCACGGCGGCTGGCGGGGCCGCGAGGCACGCAGGGCCTTCGGGGCCCCGGCCAAGCGGGTGGCTGACGCCACCAGGGAAGACGCCGCACTGGTTGCGGACCAGCACGCCCGGCGACTTCCCGTCTTCCTGCGCAGGGAGAACGCGCGGGCGGTGTTGCGGCGCCTCCAGACCCAGTCTGGAGGGGCGGGGGTGGCAGCATCCCGCCTGGCCGCAGCCGCCGCGGCTTCCACGGCAGACGCCGTGCGGGGTGCCCCCGGCGCAGTCTAGCGCCTCCCGCCCACCCCCCCGCCCTTGCTGGGCAGCGCGGGCGCCCCCCGCGCCCTTTCGCCGACGTCGCGCCGGCGACCCTCCCGCGCGCCGTGACCCCGCAGAAGGCAATCCCCACCAAGCCGCGTCGTGCTGGGCTCGGGCGGCCACCCCGCCCAGGTCGCCGCCTTAGGGTCCGTAGCCTCGTCGCGGGTGGCTCTTCTCTCCTGGCCCCTGGCCCGGCCTCTCTGCTTTCGGTCTCTGCTTTCCCTCCTCCTTGTCCTTCTCCTCCTCCTCCTCCTCCTCCTGCTTTCCTTCCTTTCCGTTCCTCCTGCTCCCTGCCTGCTGTCCCCGTCTGGCCCCTCTGCTGCCTGCCCGCGCGCCCCGCCGGCCCTGGCCGCCCGGCCGGGCGTCCGTCGTCGACTGCCCGCTTCTCCCGCCCTCGCCCCCCTTCCGCCGGGCAGCGCGGCCTGCCCGGGGCCAGCGTGGCGCAGCCTGTTTCCGTGGCCTGACATTCGGCCACGTTAGCAGGTGTTCCGCTTGCTGGGCGAGTAGGAGCTCTCTTGTGCCGCGACCCATAGAAGTCCCTATTATTCCTTGTCGCCTTGATCGATCGGCTCAAGCGGCCCCCATCTGTCCTGAGAACGGCCCCGCATGAGATCTTTTAAATACTCGAGGAGGAAGATGATGTCCCTGACCCTGTTCCCGCCGCCGAGCCCCCCATCCACTTGACGGGTCGCGCGCATCTCCATCGGGCATTCTGAGGTTGCCACGCAGGAACGGCTCCAAATCGCAGAAATGCTGCCCATCGGCCCGCACGTGGTAAATCAGAGACGGCCGCTGAACTTCGACATGGGCAATAGCCGTCGATCCAGCGGCTGGCGTTTCCATCTGTTTCTGGGAGTTGACCCCGCGCTGACCCAACGAATGAGCCTTGTTCTGAAGCTATGCATGGGCCTGGGCTGACGCCGCGCCCTCTTCCGACGTGGGCCGCCACGCATGCGCAGTCATGTACTGGAACGTAAATGCAGTCTTGCCCCCGGAACGCCGTTCGGGGGGATCGCCGGGTTCCCGCCGCCCAGCGGGGGATCGCCCCCCCGGAGGGCCGCGTCGCCTACAGCGCTTGTCGCCGTCAGCGCTCTCCTCGTCGCCCGAAGATTCATCGCCCTCGTCTTCAGTGTCTTCTGGTTCAAAATCTGAATCATCATCGGATTCGCCGCCGCCGTCGCCGGGCGGGCCTGGGCCTTTCCTCTTCTCGGCAGGAGCAGCGTCTCTTGGGGCGGAATCGTCGTTTCCCCCCCCAGCCAAACGCGCCGCCGCCGTCGTCGCCGCCACCTCCGGGCATCCGCGAATCAGAAGGAGTATGACCTAGGAACCTCGTAACAGGCGCTGCCTCCACGCCGACTTCGTCTCGTCCTTCTTTCTTCCGACGCTCGTCGTCCTCCCTGGCCACCAACGCTCTTCCCATGCCCCGTTTTTTTCTTCCTCTGCGATTAGCTCATCCTCGACCCGTTTTTCCGCGCGCTGTTCTTGTCCTTGCGCGTTGGCTGGAGCGCGGCGTTCCATGCTCCTGTCTGCCTCGCGCGACGTAGATTCCCCCGTGCTCCGCCGCGGCGCTGTCCTCGAACGCCCTCAAGCGTTGCTCCCGCTGTCGAGAGCCATCGACTTCGCCTCGGGTTCTGCGCGGCATGGCCGCGCTATCGTCCGCGATGCGTTTGGCCGCTTTGACAGCGGCCCTCCTTCCGGCGGCCGCTTCCTGAATCTCGATGTTGGCCTCCGACGTCGATTTTGCGTCGCGCGCCGCTGCCGCCTTGAGTTCGGCGGTCAAATGATCCACCGCCGTCGGTTGACTTTGGCCGCCCCCCTGGAAGGCAATGGCGGCTTTTTCCAGCACCGACCTCCGCAGCGGCTCGTGCCTGTCTCTCAGCCGCCTCACTTGCCTCGAATCGGCGTTCCATGTCTTTTATCTCGACGTGGGCTCTTTCGGTTCTTTCAGCCGCGGCAAGATGCGCATGTTCCTCGGGGTGTTCCGGGGCCCGAGCCGCGGCCTGGCAACCTTCCTCGATTTGCAGCCTGGCCGCCGCCCTCTGCTGAACTTCCGTAGCTCTGACCTGTTCCTGCGTGCGCGCCGTGTCTCTTTGTCGATCTTCCATCGGGATGGCGCGTCTCTATTCTTGCGCCCCGCCCAGCTCTCGGCGACGGGGGGCCATGCGTTGCGCGTGCTGGGAACCAGGCAGCTAGGACGCAGACAGACGGCTTAAGTTGCACCCGGGGCAGTTCACTGAGCGCGCCGAGTAAACGGGCTGCTGCGCGTGCCAAGCACCCCCGGACATTTAAACTCTGGGACGTCGGCGCAGTCGACCTCTCCTTTGTGGAAGCAGCCCTCGAACATTCGGTAGCTTGAGTCGTTCGAGCGAGCCGTGCGCGCCGAGCGCGATGACGCCCCCGACGTCGCTCGAGGCCTCGCAACCTCGCGGGCGATCCAGGTCGGATCCTCGCCGAACGGCTCCTCGAGATAGAAGCCCCGGCTGGGATGACCTGCAACCGCCCCGAGTATCTCGCCCGGGCCCCCACGGGTGAAGAAGGCGGCATGCGTTTGGTGTCTCGTTCTACGGCTATCTCCGAGCCGGAAATGCGCGATTCTTCTGGCGGGCTCACTGTTCTCGTCCGTTTGATCACTGGCGACCTCGGCAGGGTCATGTCGCCCCTGGGTTGTTTCGCCGTCGGTGTCCTCGGATTGTCCCCAGAGAGCGGATCGCCGTAGGGATCTTCAGTAGCGTCGAGTTCCGAACGGGACGGGATTTCATGGTCCTGACGGAATCGCTCGAGTAAGCCATCGGTTCGACGATTGATTTCCTCCTCGTGCGTCTCGCGGTTAGCAGCGGATGTCAAGAAATACGAAATTGTACGTCGTCCTCCGAAGGTATGCCGATAAATGGTATACCTGTGCCTTTATTAAGATCATCTTCCGGGCTAGGCGTGTCCGGTCGTGCCGGAGATCTGTCGCCGCTGGACGCGGAGACAGGAGCGTTGATGCTCGCATTCTGCGATGAGCGTAGTGTCGGGTCCCTGACATCGCCAGGGCCTTGGAGGACGACTTCTGCCGCTTCTTTAAACCCACGTGGATATTCTGGTGTGCCTAAAACATCAGCATCAGTTCCTGAAGGGAGTGCCTCCTGGTCTCGTGGGAAAACTTTCGGCTGATAACCCGTGTTTTGCCGATCTAGCGTCATGTTAGGCAAACGTGCCTTGGGATTACTAGGTTGTTTTGCTTGATGACCTTCTTCTTCTTCTTCTAGTAGCTCACGAGAAGCTAACCTCCCACTACGAACTGGTGAGTACATGGCTGGGTAAGTCCGTCAGTGAAGCGGAGTTACTCTAAGCAACGATGTGGTGTCTGTGTGCGCGCGTGGGTGGCTTGCCCGCCCGGCCCGCCAGCACGCGTGCTTTTGTTTGAGTAACTATATCCAGCTGCGGAGATAGTCCTTCCGCATGACCCATGCCCTACAAACACTCTGCAAGGGAAAAAAGTACAGTGCTGCATATATGGGCAAAGGGAGTGTTAGTAATGACTTTCTTCCTCTCACCCTCACTCGCTCCTGCTCCTCCTCTGCGCGCCCTCTCGCGCGCGCCTTCCTCCTGGGCCGGCGGGGGGAGAGGGGAGGAGAAGGACAGGATCGAGGACCGCGGATCGAAGCTGCCGAACGTTTGGGCGGCTGCTTGCGGGGCCCCCAGAGGCTGCCCAAGGGGGCCTCGAGGCGCCCCGTTGGAGGGACCTCCGCGGGGGCGTCCAGTCCCTGCTGGCGGTCCCAGGCGGGCGTGCCGCAACTCAATCGATATCCTTTCGCATTGACCCTGCCATCCGTTTCCCCCGTCGGTTCTTCCCACATCTGTCCCCCCTCGTCCCCATCAAAGGGCCTTGTTATCCTGCCATTCTTCCACCTGCCGCTTGCCAGCCGCGCTTCCGGGGAAGCACAGCCTGACAACAAAGAAGGGTCATGTTTGACGCAATGAGGCGTTTGGGCCGCATTTTTACTCTATGCCGCATTCCTCCGCCCTCCTCCTTGCTCCCAATCCCTTCCCCCATCCCTCCCACTCATTCCCTTTTTATGTGCATCCCATGACCAGCTTGGCATATTCTGTCGTACATACGACACTGCGTATTTGATGGGCTCCATTGCTGGAGGACCATGATCGTTACGAGGCGACCAGAATTCTGCGCTAAATCGTCCGCCGCAAAGGGATGCCCCACGTCTCCTAATTGCCCTCCCAGTGCACTTATCCTCTTGTCTTTCCATCTCACGTTTCACCTTCTCTTCCACCTCCTTCTCCTCCTTGTTGTTCCCTTCATCGTCCTCATCCCCATCCATCCTTCTTTCCGCCTCCTCCTCTGGGTGCAGGCGGTGGCGGGTGTGGGGCCCCGCTGGAGAGATGTGGGTCCATCTCGACGCTGACTAGCTCGTGGGTGCCCGCATCCGCGCCTGGCGGGGGAACCACCGTGCAGAGATCCGACTGGACCGTGCCAGGGCCGGGACTCCGATCCCATTCGACAGACATTACGCTCTGGGCCACATGCGCGTCTCCATGCCACGATGTGATGAAACCTCCAACGCACTTGATTGCCCGCCGCACCCGTGTATGATGGTGGCCTCGAAGGGCGTGGGCCCCTGGAGTCTGGCCGCCACTGGGCACACGAGGAACGGATCGAGCGCAGTCTGCACCAGCGTGCCTCCAGCGCAGTCAGGCTGCCTCCCGGCCCCCAGGAGAGGAGGAGAGGAGGAGAGAAGGAGGAGGAAGACCACGATTGCACTACCTTGCGAAGTACCTGAGTACCACCTACAACACCCTCTCAAGTGCCAGCGAGAGGAACGGGGGCGGAGGAGGAGCGATCCCCAGAACGACCCCCTGTGTGACTGCGCTGGAGCTGCAGCAGCGCAGCCTCAAAGCTCAGTGGCTGGAGCCCCCGGCGGCCAGCCGATGCGCGGGCCAGCCGTCCAGGGTGCTCACGGCCAGCCGGGCTCGGCCGATTTTGCGACTGGTCGGCGTCCGCGGGGGCAGAAAAGGTGAGGAGGCGCTTGACATCCTCGCGCCGCGGAAAAAAAACACGGCTGGAAACTGTTGTAACTTTTCGGCACGCGGGGGCCCTTGCTGGGCCCCGGGGACGTCAACACATATTAGGGCTGATCGGTTTCGCTTCGGGCGGAATCCACCAATGAGTGCCAGCACATCGATGTTCATGCTCCTCACGCAGGTTGTTGATGTTTGTTCTAGGTTTATGTTCAAACATGCATGTTAAAAGTGGAGGTCAGCGATGACTACTCTCAGGGCCTTTGCTTGAGAAGTGTGTTCTTGATGATTATACTTCGGGTTTACCCTTAATGTATGTGTGGGCGCCCTTTGTGGATGTTTGTCATTGGCACTTTCCATTAGGATGTGCTCGTTGTGTATGTTATTGGCGCCTGTTTTTGATGTACGACCTTGTCGTCGAATGCGGGTGCATGTTGTTGATGTGTGGGCTTGTATCTGTTATTGACGTGTGTGTTTGATACCTGTGCTTGATATGTGTGTGGTAAGTATCGCGTCTGGTCTTGGTGGCTTTTGGTGTCTGTTATCGAAGCCTGTTCGTGATTGGCGTGTTCTTGATGTATGTAATCCCACCAGCCCTCTGGGCTGAGATGATTCGGGGAGTTTCCTCCTCTAGCCCTATGTTTCCCCTTCGGGGAGGGGCTTATCACTGCTCTTTACTGACGTACCCCCCCCCTCCCCCGCCCAACCGGCGACAAAATAGGGACAATGAGCCCCCCCCCCGCCACCCCACCCCCACCATCCCTGTCGCAACAAAAACAATACGCTACCGAGGAACCCCAACATACTTTAATATGAATCTTTATGTGTTTGCTTTTATATATATATATGCACAATCCTGCGTTCTGGGCCCTCGTCGCGAATGTTCCCTGCTAGGCTTTGCGCCAGTGTCGTGGATAGCGGCCGAGCTGAGAGACCACCCCCTGCGCACCCCCTGTGGTGTCGAGAAAGTGCCACGCCTGCTAGCCTTTGCGCCAGTGTCGTGGATAGCGGCCGAGCTGAGAGACCACCCCTTGCGCACCCCGTGTGGTGTCGAGAAAGTGCCACGCCTGTGGCTTTGCGACACTGCGTGGAAGCGGCCGAGTTGAGAGACCACCCCCTGCGCAGCTGTGGGGTCGAGAAAACTGCTCGGGTGCAAGTCTTGCGCCAGTGTCGTGGATAGCGGCCGAGTTGAGAGACCACCCCCTGCCACCCCCTGTGGTGTGGAGAAAGTGCCACGCCTGCTAGCTTTGCGCCAGTGTCGTGGATAGCGGCCGAGCTGAGAGACCACCCCCTGCGCACCCCCTGTGGTGTCGAGAAAGTGCTACGCCTGCTAGGCTTTGCGCCAGTGTCGTGGATAGCTGCCGAACTGAGAGACCACCCCCTGCGCACCCCCTGTGGTGTCGAGAAAGTGCCACGCCTGCTAGGCTTTGCGCCAGTGTCGTGGATAGCGGCCGAGCTGAGAGACCACCCCCTGCGCACCTCGTGTGGTGTCGAGAAAGTGCCACGCCTGCTAGGCTTTGCGCCAGTGTCGTGGATAGGGACCGAGCTGAGAGACCACCCCCTGCGCACCCCCTGTGGTGTCGAGAAAGTACCACGCCTGCTAGGCTTTGCGCCAGTGTCGTGGATAGCGGCCGAGCTGAGAGACCACCCCCTGCGCACCCCCTGTGGTGTCGAGAAAGTGCCACGCTGCTAGGCTTTGCGACAGTGTCGTGGATAGCGACCGCGCTGAGAGACCGCCCCTGCGCCACCCTGTGTGTGTCGAGAAAGTGGCCACGCCTGCTAGGCTTTGCGGTCCGGCCGAGCTGGGGGACCACCCCCTGCCCACGCCCCCGAGCTGGAGAGACCACCCCCTGCCCACCACGCCTTTGGTGTCGTTGCGCCAATGTCCACTGCCTGCCGAGCTTTGCGCGACAGTGCCCGCCTGCTAGCCTTTGCGCCAGTGTCGTGGATAGCGGCCGGGCTGAGAGACCACCCCCTGCCCACCCCCTGGGTGTCGAGAAAGTGCCACGCATGCTAGGCTTTGCGCAGTGTCGTGGATAGCGCCGGGCTGAGAGACCACCCCCTGCGCACCCCCTGTGGTGTCGAGAAAGTGCCACGCCTGCTAGGTTTGCGCCAGTGTCGTGGATAGCGGCCGGGTGAGAGACCACCCCTGCGCACCCCTGTGGTGTCGAGAAAGTGCCACGCCTGCTAGGCTTTGCGCCAGTGTCGTGGATAGCGGCCGAGCTGAGAGACCACCCCCTGCCCACCCCCTGTGGTGTCGAGAAAGTGCCACGCCTGCTAGCCTTTGCGCCAGTGTCGTGGATAGCGGCCGAGCTGAGAGACCACCACCTGCCCACCCCCTGTGGTGTCGAGAAAGTGCCACGCCTGCTAGGCTTTGCGCCAGTGTCGTGGATAGCGGCCGAGCTGAGAGACCACCCCCTGCGCACCCCCTTTGGTGTCGAGAAAGTTGCCTTTTGCTAGTTTGCGCACGCCGACTGGGAGACCACCCCTGCGCACCCCCTGTGTGTGATGAAGTTGCCCACGCCTGATAGGCTTCCGTGTGTCGTGGGTAGCGGCCGAGCTGGGAGACCACCCCCTGCCCACCCCCTTGGTGTCGAGAAAGTGCCACGCCTGCTAGGCTTTGCGACAGCGTAGTGGATAGCGACCGAGTGAGAGACCACCCCCTGCGCACCGTTGTGGTGTCGAGAAAGTGCCACGCCTGCTAAGCCTTTGCGCCAGTGTCGTGGATAGCGACCGAGCTGAGAGACCACCCCCTGCGCACCCCCTGTGGTGCGAGAAGTACGCGTGCTAGGCGTTTTGAGCAGTGTCGGCTGGATAGCGGCCGAGCTGATGAGACCACCCCCTGCGCACCCCCTGTGGTGTCGAGAAAGTGCCACGCCTGCTAGGCTTTGCGCCAGTGTCGTGGATAGGGCCGAGCTGAGAGACCACCCCCTGCGCACCCCCTGTGGTGTCGAGAAAGTGCCACGCCTGCCAGGCTTTGCGCCAGTGTCGTGGATAGCGGCCGAGCTGAGAGACCACCCCCTGCGCACCCCCTGTGGTGTCGAGAAAGTGCCACGCCTGCTAGCCTTTGCGCCAGTGTCGTGGATAGCGCCGAGCTGAGAGACCACCCCCTGCGCACCCCCTGTGGTGTCGAGAAAGTGCCACGCCTGCTAGGCTTTGCGCCAGTGTCGTGGATAGCGGCCGAGCTGAGAGACCAACCCCTGCGCACCCCCTGTGGTGTCGAGAGGTGCCACGCCTGCTAGCCTTTGCGCCAGTGTCGTGGATAGCGGGAGCTGAGAGACACCCCCTGCCCACCCCCTGTGGTGTCGAGTGAGTGCCACGCCTGCTAGGCTTTGCGACAGTGTCGTGGATAGCGACCGAGCTGAGAGACCACCCCCTGCGCACCCCCTGTGGTGTCGAGAAAGTGCCACGCCTGCTAGGCTTTGCGCCAGTGTCGTGGATAGCGGCCGAGCTGAGAGACCACCCCCTGCGCACCCCCTGTGGTGTCGAGAAAGTGCCACGCCTGCTAGGCTTTGCGCCAGTGTCGTGGATAGCGGCCGAGCTGAGAGACCACCCCCTGCGCACCCCCTGTGGTGTCGAGAAAGTGCCACGCCTGCTAGGCTTTGCGCCAGTGTCGTGGATAGCGGCCGAGCTGAGAGACCACCCCCTGCCCACCCCCTGTGGTGTCGAGAAAGTGCCACGCCTGCTAGGCTTTGCGCCAGTGTGCGTGGGTGTCGATGCCACGCGGCCGCGCCAGTGTCGTGGATAGCGGCCGAGCTGAGAGACCACCCCCTGCGCACCCCCTGTGGTGTCGAGAAAGTGCCACGCCTGCTAGGCTTTGCGCCAGTGTCGTGGATAGCGGCCGAGCTGAGAGACCACCCCCTGCGCACCCCCTGTGGTGTCGAGAAAGTGCCACGCCTGCTAGGCTTTGCGCCAGTGTCGTGGATAGCGGCCGAGCTGAGAGACCACCCCCTGCGCACCCCCTGTGGTGTCGAGAAAGTGCCACGTGCTAGGCTTTGCGCCAGTGTCGTGGATAGCGGCCGTGAGAGACCACCCCCTGCTGTGGTGTCGAGAAAGTGCCACGCCTGCTAGGCTTTGCGCCAGTGTCGTGGATAGCGGCCGAGCTGAGAGACCACCCCCTGCCCACCCCCTTTGGTGTCGAGAGAGTGCCACGCCTGCTAGGCTTTGCGCCAGTGTCGTGGATAGCGGCCGAGCTGAGAGACCACCCCCTGCGCACCCCCTGTGGTGTCGAGAAAGTGCCACGAGCTGTGCTGTGCTGTGCTGAGCTGAGCCGTGCTGGGCTGTGATGAGCTGTGCTGAGCTGTGCTGTGTGCTGAGCTGAGCTGAGCTGAGCTGTGTGCTGTGCTGTGCTGTGCTGTGCTGTGCTTTGATGTGCTGTGCTGTGCTGAGCTGTGCTGTACGAAGAGTGAGGTGT